TAGTCGCCATTTTATGAAAAAAAAGTTTTTTTTTTAGTTTTGCTGTTTCATGGCATAGCGACATTCGTACTCATTAAGAATCTGTCATTGTTTTAATTTTCAGATGATGATAAGGGTAGAAATCATGGCGATGAGGACACGGCCGTTTTTTAAACCCTTTTCTTCAAGGAATTTTTTTTTGTACTCTTCTAAGTTTAATAAACAAATGATAAAAAAACGGATAGTAAACATATCTAGTGCTTCTTTTTTTTATTAATTGTTGGAAAAAGCTCGAAATTCGAGCCTCTAGACTAGAGTACCCCCTTAATAGGGCTTTCACTTTATTTTTTATTTATAAATTGTTTTTTAACATCCTATCTTCTAAGTTGGTTCGAACTGGATACAGTATGCAAAGTTTTACTGAAATCGGTTCAGTAGTTTAGGAGTCCATCGCGGAGATCGGAGTGGCGAACTGATTCGATTTAATTATTTCCGTCTATATATATACACGATTTAGTTCTTTAGGTTTTGAGACATGAATCTAAGATTTTGCACACTCTTTTATTCTCAAGAACCTTCTCATTTGTCGCAACCGGCATGCCAACCGCCCGTTCAAAATCTAGACCTTCATGGGCAATTTTTTTATTTGAGAAGATATTTTGCATACATGGCATACATTTACACAACACTAAAATCTCCAATTGTCATGGCGATCCAAGTAGAGGTATTTTCTTCAGTAGTCTTTGTTTTTTTTGACAGATCACGCGACAGTAGTGCCAAGTTGTCACGTTAATTTTGTTCATATTGCTTGGAATTTCATAATGGAAATACTTAGCCCTGAACAAAGTTTACAAATCGCTTAATTTTATTACGAAAATTCACGTTCTGTAATGAATGTGTTTCGAGGAGGAACGACTTGCCGCATTTTACGTCGAGGTCTTTAATTGAAAGCGTACAATATGCAGCTTGTGCAAGAACTGAGTTACACGACCTTCTCACCTGCTTTCGCTTCGCTCTATGGACTCTTGCAAAGTTCCAAGAATATCCGATGTTTTACAGCCAAATTTTGTTCAGCGATGAGACTCATTTCTGACTCAATGGGTATGTAAATAAGTTACATTGCCGCATTTATGACTAAAAGTAACATGAAGAGATTTAAGAGCTACCGACCGACGGTTATCGTGCCATGATAAGCGACTATTTGGTGGCTTAAATTGAAGCTAGCGATCTCGGTGAAATTTGGTGTCAACAAGATAGCGCCACTTCCCACACATCACATCAATCAATGGATTAATTGAGAGAACCCTCCGGTTAAAAGATGATTTCACGTTTCAGGTCGGTCGATTGGCCACAAGGATTGAGTGATATCACACCGTTTCATGTGAGATTTACTTTATGTGTTGTTCCCAATCGGCTACATGACTGAATTGACTCATCAAACGGGTTTCAAATTACTCTCTCACGGATGTGCAATGTTTTCTTGTTGTAACGAACTTACCAACTTTCTCACACTGCTAAAAATTAAGAGTCCGTAACTTATTTCATGTATTAATAATTATTTATTATTTCTTTCAATGTGTGCTGCATAATCTTTGTATTATCCAGTTTTAAGAGTTATCATATACTACAGTTTCAATTAAGTATCGAACGTTTTTAAGTATCGAATCATAAGTGTCAGCTCACTTTTCTTTTTCTATTGTTGTGTATTTTTATACCACTTTCAGGCATGACATTTTAGTATACATACTTTAATTAAGTGTTTTCAATTCTGATTTTCATAATTATTTAGGAATAGTTGGTCATTATTAATTCCTGGAAGTAAATGCACTAATTAGTATCATAATATTGCATTAATTATAAACGTAATTTATTTAATTATATGCTGTTATTATTTAATTTGTATTTGGTAGTAAACGAACTCTCAACATGCTCCACTAAATATATGCTTATTTCTACTAATTTTATAATAATTGTAAATTTTCAAGTTTTTCTTTGCAGGTTAGACGTTTCTCTTCATTACTTTTCAAATCACTTCAATTCGGTATAATTTATTTATATTAATTTTTTTTTTACTTTATTAAATTCACTAATTAGTCGTATTCAGCATTAAAAGTAACAAATTTCTTTATACTACAATATAYAGTTAGGTATTTGTATACAAGTATTTAGGTAACTAATAATTCTTTTCATGGAAGAGAAGAAAGTTTTTGGATCACAAGGTTTGAGTTTTCATTATTTAGTTATAATAGTACTAATGCTAATTTTTTACAATGGTTTTTTTTTTACATATTTTATTTTAAATTTTTTATTTGAGCTTAATTTTTTTATAAAAAGTTCAATGAGGATTATACCAACTTCATATTGCATCAATTCTGGCAATTAGTAGTTAATTTTTATACAGGTTAATTCCAAAAGCTTTCAAAAATCATATACACTTTACTGGGCTTTCACAATTAAATAACTTTGAGCTTAAAATAGAAAACTTGCGTTGAACTTTCACCGCCATGTGAAAGCTCTCAATTTTCTTAGTTGATTTGATTATTAATTTCTGCACCTAGTTATATTATATTAGAAGTTAATAGTTATGAAGTGTATCTCCAAAGGCTTTTGCAAATCATACAAACCGACCTTTAATAATTAAACTTTTTTTTTTTTTCAGCACTTTTATAA